GGTTAGGGTGGGGGTGGGGATGATGCTGAGGGTTAGGGTTAGGGTTAGTGTAGGGGTGATGCTGAGGGTGAGGGTTAGGGTGGGGGTGGGGGTGAGGGTGGGGGTGAGGATGAGGGTGGGGGTGAGTTTGAAGGTTAAGGTTAGGTTTAGGGTTAGGGGAGGGTGAAGGTGATGGTGAGGGTTAGGGTTAGGGTTAGTGTAGGGGTGAGGGTGGGGTGGGGGTGATGCTGAGGGTGAGGGTTAGGGTGGGGTTGAGGGTGAGGGTGGGGGTGGGGGTGAGTTTGAGGGTTAATGTTAGGTTTAGGGTTAGGGGAGGGTGAAGATGATGGTGAGGGTTAGGGTGAGGGTTAGGTGAGGGTGATGGTTACAATGAGGGTGAGGTGATTGTGAGCGGTTATCGTAACTATTATATCGCTAATTACATAGAAATTGCACACACTGTACACTCATATTTTCGAGCCATAGAATACCCCGTCTAATAAATACTATATATAATCTCTTTATTTACTTGTCACATACGCGTACATGATTGTTGGCGGATACGATACCATCGTGTTCGGTCCGACAACCTTTTCGTACTCGTATGTGACAGAGGGCTTATATATAAATATTTATTGGATCTGTCCAGTGTGGACGGGTTAGGTATGTAAACATGACGTGCATATGTATTTACGTGTGTTCTTGTGTACTTTCTTTTCGTCAGAGTTTTGGCGGCGCTTACTCGTTGTTCTCCGTGTACTATAGTGTACTCGGAGAACAGCGGGTAGGTGCTGCTAAAATTTTGACGAAATAAAAGTACACTTGAATACACATAAATATATATACACGCTACGTTTACATACCTAATGGGATAGAAGCCTTCCTCTGATAGCCGGTCACACACACTTGTCCTATAACTTAAAATGATATATGTTGAGATATGCTCACTTCTATTAATTTTTATATTCTAGATGCGGACAATTCCTGACAAATCATTCATGGGCATACCACGTGATCGAAGGCATCTAGACACTCGATATAAGGATGGGATAGAAGCTTTCTTAGCCTACTCTGACACCAACCCTCTACGGTCACCCAGCGGGTTGATTTTTTGTCCTTGCAAGAATTGTAGGAATGATAAAATGTTCACTAGGAGTGACGTAAGTTTGGATTTGATAGCTCTTATGTATTTTGGAGTCATCACGGTGAAGGCGTCCCGGTGATGCAATTAGAGGAAGAGTTTACTGATGTCGACAATCCGACAATTGACACAACTGATATGTTGGAAGATATTCTTACCGTGCCGTCTTTGAGTGATGTTAACACTACTGATATGTTTCAAGATGTAGCCCGATTGATGAGACTTTTTGAAGAAAACGAGTCACCGTTATACGAGGGGTGCACCGAGTTCACAAGGCTTTCTTTTATGCTGAGGCTTCTTCATATCCAAACACTCAGTGGGATAGCTGTTACACATTTCGAGATGTTATTAGACTTGCTCAGGAAAGTTATTCCAGGCGGCGAGAAGAGCATCCCCACAACTTATTATGAAGCTCACAAGATTGTTGATACGCTGGGGCTTGATTACAAGAAGATAGACGCCTGTCCTAATGACTGCATCTTGTACAATAAGGATAATGAAGGTCTAGAGGAATGTCCGACGTGTCATGTATCACGCTGGAAAGAACATACGGGCACATCTGAAGGCATATCATCCAATAAGCAGAGCAGAATCCCTGTGAAGATTCTTCGATATTTTCCAATTATTCCTAGGCTGCAGAGGTTTTATATGTCTGCCGAGCTGGCTGAGAATATGCGATGGCATTCGACCGACAGCAAAGAGGACGAGAAATTGAGACATCCTACTGATGGTGAGGCATGGGAGTACATTGATTGTATATACCCTGACTTTGGTAAGGAGTCTCGGAATATTAGGCTGGAGCTTGCTAGCGATGGATTTAATCCGTTTGGAATAATGAGCTCTGCTTGGTCTACCTGGCCAGTGTTGCTGACACCGTACAACCTGTCGCCGTCGATGTGCATGAAGCAGCTGTACATGATACTATCACTCTTGATCCCTGGAAGATATTCTCCTGGAAATGACATTGATGTTTTCCTCCAACCATTAATTGACGACTTGAAGCTTCTCTGGGATGAAGGCGTCAGCACTTATGATGCTTATGGTAAGGAGGCTTTCTGTATGCGTGCAATGGTCATGTGGACAATTAATGACTTTCCAGCATATGCTAACTTGTATGGATGGTCGACGAAGGGTCAGATTGCTTGTCCGGTTTGCATGTCAGATTATGAGGGAAAGTTTCTGAAATACAGCCGTAAGTTCTATTATTGGCAACACAGAAGATGGTTACCTACAGGGCACAAGTTCAGAAAGTTAGTAGGAAAGTTCGACGACAATCCAGAAAACAGACCGGCACCACCAAGGCTGACCAGGGAAGAAATATTTGAGCTTATACATCCTCTACCTAAAAAAATATTTGGAAAAAAAAATTCAACAAAGAAAATCCATTTGGGGTTAGGAGAAAAATATTGAAGCAAAATTGGAAGGGAAAGGGAAAGGGTAAGCAATTTCTCTAAGACAATTCGAAAGGAAATAAACCTCGCACTGTCTAATCGCATGGGCGTGTCTCTAAGGGTACTGAACTTCCGCATGGATGGTCAAAATTCAGCATATTTTATCAATTGCCATATTGGAGAAGTTTAAAAATACGTCACAACTTGGATGTCATGCACATCGAGAAGAACATATGCGAGAATCTCTTGAACACTTTGTTGCAGGACGAAAAAAAAAATCAAAATATGACTTAAGGGCACGTCGAGACCTAGCAGAATTGAACATCCGTCCCGAACTGCAAGCTATAGATAAGGGTGATGGAAAGTTTGAACTCCCAGCCTCCCGTGTCACACTGTCGAAGGATGAGGTCTACAATATGTGTTTATTTCTAAAGTCCATGAAGACACCGGATGGTTATGCTTCAAACATTTCAGCAAATGTGCATATTGAGGATAGGAAAATTTTGGGACTCAAGACACATGACCATCATATTCTATTGCATCAACTTCTCCCGGTTGCGTTGCGACATGCTGAGAAGGAACTCGCGATGGTGATAATAGAATATTGCGGTTTCTTCAAGCAGTTGTGCTCCAAGGTGATTGATGTCAGGGAGTTTGAAGAATTAGAGGGACATGTAGCCAATACACTGTGTAAAATAGAAATTCTATTTCCACCTTTGTTCTTTACGGTCATGGTGCATCTCACAATACATTTAGCATATAAAGCCTGCATCGCAAAACCAGTTCAATATCACTGGATGTACCCTGTGGAGAGGTATTTATTATTATAATGCTCAATTAATATTTGTTAAATTACGTTACTCAGTTTTATTTTGTCACAAATCATGAAACTATATGCTTGTAGGTATTTGGGTTTCATGAAACATTTGATGCATAACCATGCACGTCTTGAAGGATCGATAGAAGAGAACTATATAAGTAATGAGAGTTTGAATTTCATCTCTCGTTACTTGCGGGGTGTGGAGACAAGGCTTAACCATCCCCAACGAATAATTGACGGAATATTCTATAATGATCGTGGGGAGGACACTAGATTCCCCAGAATGGAGCTAGATCAAGCCCACACATATATCCTGAGCAATGATATTACATTTAACATATACGCGGCATAAGTATTTAACTGTTTGAATCAGATCATATCACATCACAATAACTATCTCTATTTAACTGTTATAAATGATTTTATTCTAGGCTTCACATCCGATATGTCCAGACTATTCTTAAATGCAGAGCAAAAAATAAAAGAGTTATGGACACACACTCTAGATAATTCCCTGCATGGCTGAAGGGTGAAGTAATATTTATTTACATTTTTGATTCGTATATCAAATATGTGCCTGCCAACAGATATTTAAACTATTTGTTTCTTTTCTTAAAGGTTGACCCACGGATTACGAATGGGGTTAACCTGTCTGAGAAAATATGTTTATATGCTAGAGGTCCTTCTAACGTGGTTAAGCGTTATGGAGGCTACTGTATCAACGGCTTTAGGTTTAACACCATCGGTTTCGAAGAGAGACGACAAACGCAAAATAGCGGTGTATTCTGCTCCTTCTCGCAACTGTCATACGATCGGTTTCGAAGAGAGACGACAAACGCAAAATAGCGGTGTATTCTGCTCCTTCTCGCAACTGTCATACACTAGTTCAAAAGATCTAAATCTGATACAAGGTGAAATCTATTGCTACGGTCAGGTAGAAGACATTATGGAGATTTTCTATGGGATTAATAATGAAGTCAGACATGTAATGTTTAAGGTTCGTTGGTGTGAGCTGAAAAAGGCGAAGGATGACTACGATTACACACTCGTTAATCTTAATAAGGAAATATATCAGACTGAAAAGTACATGTTAGCTGCTCACGCCAAACAGTGCTTTTATATCAAAGATATAATGAAAAATAACGAATGGGTTGTCCTTAAGAATCCGCCTAGATCCTACATTCATGAAGCCGTGTCTGACGAAGACCACGAAGAGGTTATCTTGGCCGACGAAACAGTTGCTGAGTTTTCCTTGACACAAAATAATAATCTGGTGGATGAAATTGCACTGGCGCACCCTGATGTACCTGCGATTATATGTGAGCCAAGGCGTAAAGTCAAAAAACGAGTCCACGGTAGAGGCGATAAAACTATAAGGATAGTCCTTTTGTCGGCACGCACACGGTCGCAGGCTAACCGCACACGGTCGCAGAGTAGAGCCTCAACATCATCATAATAATATAATACTTGGTTATGATTTAAAAAGAATATTCATGTATCTGTTTGACTGACATGTATCAGTTTGTGTTATGTATTATAGTATTGCCTTTATATTATCTGTTTGACTGGTTATTATGTATCAGCTTGTGTCATGTATTATAGTATTGCCTTTATATTATCTCTTTGACTGGTTATCATGTATCAGTTTGTGTCATGTATTATAGTTTTGTTGGGTACTCATTATGTTTTCAAAGTATAGATGACAAAAGGATTACGTAAGAGAGCGCTTGAGAGACTTTTTGGTAGATATTCTGGAGGCGACGCACATGGCTCTACGTTAAGTATTTTTATTTATTTATTATATCTGTACATTTCTATAAACTATTAATACGAGCCTAACATTATTTTTTCACATTTCCTACGCAGGCCGCATCGCTGCTACACATGACGGGCCGCCACAGGACACAGGACGAGGAGATGCTCCACATGATGCGGAGACACTCGTTGATCCTGCTCAGCATGCAGAGATGCCGCCGTCGCCTCCTCAGGCTGCAGATGTATTGGAGGAGCGCCGATATGAGCCATATAGCGCAGCTGTAGAAGCTGCGCCACTACCGCCGGATTCTATTCCGGATCAGCGAGCCCACGACCCGGCCAAGGTAAAGGAGGATTGGGATGCTTATCATGATTTGCGACTTATCGCACAGCAGAGGTATGAACAAGCAAGGCGTAGATGCCTCGAATTGAAAGGTGTGTATAGATTTTTATAGTTTATATGTTAATATTTTAATTTGTATTATCGATATTGATTGATTTATATTTCGCCTGAATTTCATTTTTTCGTAGGTACCGAGCGACCTACTAGGCGCGGCCGCAGTAGTACCAAGCCACAGAACCTCGTCCCAGATATTCGTCGGAGGGCCGTGATCCGATGGCAGAACGGCGTGCCTGTCGGGCCATTTGCTAACTCATTCAACAATTTCCTCGCCGCTTTAGCCAGGAGACATGATTTCTTCAACATATATTTGACGTGGAAGTCGCAGCGGATTGATGCGCTGGTGGCTTGTTGGCGATATATATGTGTGAGTCATTTATTTTATAGTTTATATTATTTTGTTTAACACACTGATTTGTATCTCTTTTTTCATTGTATGCTGAAGCGATTTTTCTTTCTTGACGATTACGCTTATGCCTGGACTTACTGCTTCACGCAAATCAATCTATCGTTCAAGAGGTGGCGGTCAGAGCTGAAGAAAAAATATTTTACTCAAAGAACAGAAGATTGGGAGCGTTAATTATCTGTTTGACTGGTTATCATGTATCAGTTTGTGTCATGTATTATAGTTTTGTTGGGTACTCATTATGTTTTCAAAGTATAGATGACAAAAGGATTACGTAAGAGAGCGCTTGAGAGACTTTTTAGTAGACATTCTGAAGGCAACGCACATGGCTCTACGTCAGGTATTTTTATTTATTTATTATATCTGTACATTTTTATAAACTATTAATATGAGCCTAACATTATTTTTTAACATTTCCTACGCAGGACGCATCACTGCTACACATGACTCGCCGCCACAGGACACAGGACGAGGAGATGCTCCACCTGATGCGGAGACACTCGTTGATCCTACCCAGCATGCGGAGATGCCGCCGTCGCCTCCTCCGCATGCAGATGTATTTGAGGAGCGCCGATAAGAGCCATATAGCGTAGCTGTAGAAGCTGCGCCACTACCGCCGGGTTCTATTACAGGTCAGCGAGCCCACGACCCGGCCAAGGTGAAGGGGGATTGGGATACTTATCATGCTTTGCGACCTATTGCACAACATAGGTATGAACAAGCAAGGCGTAGATGCGTCGAATTGAAAGGTGTGTATAGATTTTTATAGTTTATCTGTTAATATTTTAATTTGTATTATCGATATTGATTGATTTATATTTTGCCTGAATTTCATTTTTTTTGTAGGTACCGAGCGACCTACTAGGCGCGGCCGCGGTGGTACCAAGACACAAAACCTCATCCCAGATATTCATCGGAGGGCCCGTATCCGATGGGAGAACGACGTGCCTGTCGGGCCATTTGTTAACGCTTTCAACAGTTTCCTCGCCGCTTTAGCCAGGAGACATGATTTCATCAACATATTTTTGACGTGGAAGTCACAGCGGATTGATGCGCTGGTGGCTTGTTGGAGATATATACGTGTGAGTCATTTATTTTAATTCTCATAATTATTAGTCATTTTATTATTTTGTTTAACACACTGATTTGTATCTCTTTTTTCATTGTATGCTGAAGCGATTTTTCTTTCTTGACGATTACGCTTGTGCATGGACTTACTGCTTCACACAAATCAATCTATCATTCAAGAGGTGGTGGTTTGAGCTGAAGAAAAACTATTTTATTCAAAGAACAGAAGATTGGGAGCGTTACTGGCATCTTGACGAGCGCGTAGATGGAGTAGATTTTTTTGCACTTTGCGATTATTAGGACACGGCCGAAATTCAGGTATTATTGAAGTATATATTTTTGTTTATTGTTTAAAATTCTATATTATATCTGTTTAACATTGTTTTGTAGGGTCAAGCTGAAACAGCAAAGAGGAACCACAATGCGCCCCGCAGTTACGAGCATCACGGGGGCTCCAGGTCCTTCAGCCAGCATTATCATCAATTGGCGCTTGAGGTATATAATATATTAATTAGCTCTTATGTTATCAATTTAAGTATAATTTATGTGTTATGAGTTAATGATATATTTGAATAAAATAGGGAAGGGGAGATCTTGGGCATTTTGCAGATCGTATTCTGACTTCATGGAGCCCAAATTACGCCGATGAAGAGAAGAAAGCGCAAAACCAGGATCTGGCTGTAAGTAGCAGTTCATTTGTATATTTAATTTTTATAACAATGTATTTTAAATGTGTTAGAATTGACCGGGTTGTTTTGGTATATCGCAGGAGAAATTACATGCTAAGGTGCAGGAGCAATTTTCACAAACTCAGGTCGATTCTAACACCCCGACCCGATTAAGTAGAGAGGAGGAGGATAGCATCATCGAGACGATCATTGGACCGAGTAGGAAGAACAGATATCGGTGGAGAGGATCCGAGCATCGGCCGTACGAGTCCAGTAGCACCTACAAGTCTGCAGCACAACCAGGATGCAGTTCTTCTCAAGACCCGACTATGGAACAACGGATGAAAGCGATGGAAGATTGGCAGTCGCATCGGGAGTCAGAGCTACTCCAGATGGCGGAGGAAGAACAGAGGCGCCGGGAGCAGAGGGAGCTGGAATTCGCCCAGTTCATATCGACTCTGCCTTCTGATTCTCAGGAGGCATATAAGAGACGGTTTATGGATGATCAGGTAATATATATATTTTTCTTTTTTAATTAAATGAATTAAATATAAAATTCTTACTTAGTTATGAGTATGCCATGTGACTAAATGATATCACACACACACACACACACACACCGATGCACACTGATACAAACTGTTACACACAAACTATATCTCTCTCCAAAACACAAAACCAAAATTATATACTTAATGTTTTTATGTGATGGTGGTGTTGATGGTGCGTGCGTGCGTAGCGATGGTTGTATTGGTTAGTGAGTTGGTTAGTTGGTTGTTGTTTTGTTTCGTTGTGGTGCGTTCGTGCGTGGGGTCGTTTGGTGGTGGTGGTGATGATGATGGAGGGGGAGGGGGTGGGGGGTAGAGTTTGGTTGGTTGGTGGGTGGGGTTGGGGGATTGTTATTGTGGTGGTGGTGGTGTTGTTATTGTTGTATTGTGGTGTTGCATGTGTTGTGTTGTCGTGGTCATTATGTGCGTGCTTGATGTTGGGTTTGGTCGTGGTGGGGGAGGGGGAAGTGTGGGGATTGGGTTGAGCTGGGTACTCGTGTGTGCGTGTTGGTGGAGATAGGTACGCGTGCGTGCGTGTGTGCGGGTGGGGTTAGGGTGTGTGCGTGCATTGTTAAAAACATGTGCGTGCTTGCGTATAATACATAAAAATATGCCATGATACTCTCTCCGAATCATATAACATGTAAGAATATGTCATGATACTCTATTATTGCTATACTTGCATGTCATGCCATGTTGTTTTATAATTTGTTACTTTACTGCAAAATTCAGTTTTTGATGATGTACGTATTGCTCTATAACATTTTATTTATATTTTTAGGCTGGGACTTCTCGACAATGTGTAGTTGGTGATGAGGATGATGATGATCGGGACTGATTTTATTTGTTTTAACATTGAAAACAATGGGTGTGCTGTATAAATAACATTTATAATGTTGGGATATTTATTATGTTTTTAGTGAAATATGTGTCATATATGCGTGAAAATGAAATATGTGTTATATGTGCTTGTGCTGTGTAAATTTATTGTACATGTTTTTATTGTGAAATATATTATACAGGAATTTTTAATTTTCAAAAAAAAAATTTAAAAAAATTTCTGCTTACATTTAGCGACGGATTTTCCGTCGCTAAAAGGACTTATGGCGACGGAAAACTGACATGCCAGACATGAACTGATATAATCTTTTGGCGACGGATTTTTCGTCGCCAAAATATATAGCGATGGCCAAAATATATAGCGACGGAAACTACCGTTGCCAAAAAATCAGACATAAACGACAGATTTTTCGTCGCTATATATCCGTCGCTGATATTTAGCGACGGATTATCCGTCGCTAAATATGGATTTACCTACCCTGGTAATAGTGACGGAGTTTTAGCGACGGAATTACTATTTTTCCGTCGCTAAAACTATTAGCGACGGATTTTTGACTTTTGGCGACGGATTTGTCCGTCGCTAATAGTCCACTATGCAATAGTGATTTGGAGTTTGTTCGCATTCTCGTTTGGGTTCTCGACTTTTTGTTGATTGAGTCGATTGTCAGGATTTGTTCTACTTCATACTGGACGCAACAAGTGAGACGTTTGGTTGGTATTGGTGTCGGCTCAGTTTTGGGAAAACTTCGCCGAGGTGGCGAATTGTTAGATAGCAGGTTCCTAATATGTTTCCTAATTTATTTTGGTAACATGTTATTGGGATTCCTAATCTGTTTTGGTAACATGATTCCAAATTTGTTTTGGTAACAGGTTATTAGGATTCCTAATCTGTTTTGTTTTTTGTTTTAGAATTCCTAGTATGTTTATGATTTTAGATTTTTATATATATGGAACAATTGGAAGAGAGAATTGAGAAGAAAATTGGGGATATTTAGAGCACAGAAAAGATGTATTTTCTGAGCTATTGGTTAGGGTTTTGTTTGGAGAGAATTAGAGATTTGTTGGTGAGATTAATTGGTGAGTTTGAGTGATTTGTAATCTCACTTTGTACTCTTCTTCTTTATTAGTGAAAAACCCTATCCCCTTCTTGCCCCGTGGACGTAGGCAACTTGTCGAACCACGTTAAAATTGGTTATTTGTGTTTGTGGCATTGATTTGGTTCGTTTGGCCTTTCTCTCGATGTTCGTTTGATTTGATTTCTCATAGCACAATGGTTTGGTTGTTTGGCTTCCGCATCGCTCAACAATTCTCACATTCACCTCCATCACCTCCTCCACCAGTATTCTTGATACGGGTGTATCTTCTCTTTGGAACTTAGTGATCCTTATGAGAGCTTGAGGATAGATGATTCTCATAGTAACTTGAGAATAGATGGGTAAAACAACATAGTGGAACACCAGGTTGAAGCATAGAATGAGACGGTGAATCAAAGAATCGAAACATCCAGTTTTTAGCCTGTGAGTCGACTCATACACGTACATGAGTCGGCTCATCAGGTTGAGTCGACTCATGCCTGTCATGAGTCGACTTACGAAACCCAGCTGTTTTGTCGAAAGTATCTGACGAGTCGACTCACCTCATCATGAGTCGACTCACTTGGCATGAGTCAACTCATGCATGTTTATGAGTCGACTCATCGACGGTTTCTTGATTCGTTTGGGCTTCTGTTTGCACAAATTCCTGTGAGGTTTGAGCTTGGTTATTTACCACTTTACCATCCACGTTGTTACACCTATATAAGAGATTGTTTTAGGGTTTTAAGAAAAGGAGATGTAATCAAAGAGAGATTCGAATCAAGAGAGATTAGGGTTTAGAGAGAATTGAGAGTTTGTTCTCGATTCTAGTGAGATTATGAGAGAGGGATTGTAATCTTTTCATACTCATAATCTAGAGAGGGTATTTTCCTTCACCACATACTGAATTATTCTTGTGTTTCTATCATCCTCTTCTCAACCCATCTTTGATAATTTCACGATCAAAGATGCTCGCATGGCAACTCGTATCAAGTTAGTATCAGAACGATCAGATCTTGTGAAGGGGGCATCCTTTGTATGGTCCTGACTCGATCGTAATACAAGAAGCTAAGCGAGATCCTTATTTCATTGGAAGGAGTCCAGAAATTAAGGAAGAAGAATATGACTGAAGAAGATAATTCAACGAGGCTAGATGCATTAGAGAAACAGATAAATACAATGAGTTCGACTCTCACACAGCTCGTCAATATCTTCTAAGAAAAGGACAAAAAGGAGGAATCTTCTTCAAAAGGTAAGAAGAAACTTATGGAGTCCGATGGAGAAGGTGAGGAATCTGATTCGGATAGGGAGGCTAAGATTATCAAAACTGTTCCACATCAAGGGGGTAAGGGTTCTTACCAGAATTGGAAGATAGACTTCAAGGTAGAGATTCCTGTTTATGATTGGAGTGTCAACGTCAAGAGGTTTGATGATTGGATTGAGCGGATGGAGACGTATTTTACCCTCTACGGATATTCATCCCAGGAGAAGCTTGTGTCCGCGACTTTGAAGCTTTCGGGGCATGCATTGATATGGTGGAAATCCTATTGTAAGCAGGTGGAACAAATTCAAGGAGCTACTGAGGAAGCAGTTTTACCCAGTAGGGTTCCTTAAGAAGCGTTGGTATAAGTGGTACGGATTGTGCCAAAGGTTTAACCAGACCGTTCAAGAATATACGACAGAGTTCCAGCAGCAGGCGATGGTTCTTAACATCATAACAGAGGAATATTCCATCTTTATGAAGTATATGTCTGGTCTGAATGAATATATCCGAAAGGAGATAAAGTTATTCACGGTTGAGTCTATTACAGAGGCAAGCGTGAAAGCTATTGCCATCGAGGGCAAGCAAAAGAAGAGCAACGAGGCAAAAGGAGATGCAAAACAGACGAGAGGTGAGTCTAGTGGTTCCAAACATAAGGAGGAGAAGAAGGATTATCCAGGGAGAGCAGAACTGATTTGTAGTCACTACGAGAAGACAGGACATATCGCTGATCGATGCTGGGAGAAGTATCCTCATCTGAAGCCAAAAGGATTGAAGAAAAAGGAGGAGAAGAAGACATACGTGATAGCACAGGGTCCAAAAAAAGTTCCTAGGATGACAGAGCCCAACAGTAGTCTTAATCTTATGGCAGGAAAACAAGCCACGAAAGAGGATGAAGACCCCCGTGAGAGTAGCTCTTTATGCCGAAGTTGCAAGTGAAGACCAGTTTGATTGATGTCGTTGTTAATCCAGACAGTAAAAAATAATTTGATATCTGAGGCG